TAATCAGAAGAAAAGACACAAAGGGGTGGTGGTGGGGGGAGCCAGTAGCTCAGAAGGAAGAGGCAGAAATATTTATTCCCTGTGTAACACCCAGGAATAACACTTAGGAAAATTACTAAAATAAAACTCAAAACTATGAAAAATCCAAAGGTGACTGTTGACTCCGCTGTCTCAGAAATCAACTCAGAAAAGGCCTGAGCTCTGGCTGGAAGCACTGAGCTGAGTCTCCAAGCCCAATGCCTGGTGGTATCACCCTATGAAATACAGCTGTGAAGCTTTGCCCTTGGGACTGTGATGGGGACTGGGACCCTTCTGGGGTCAGGCGGCTCTTGTCTTTGGAGATCCTTAACTCAGATAAGCTCAGCATCCAGAAATATCCTTCGCTTTGTTCTTCCTCTGGTATCTCGTGTCCTTGGGATCAAAGCCTCTTTCCCTGGCACCGAAGAGTGCCCACTGTGGGGTTCTGGCCATGTAATCGCTCGCACTGAACGTCTTTGAGCCTCCACTCTCTTCATACTGCAGGACGAGCTCCTGGAAGCGGCTGTAATCGATCCACGTCCACCATTCTCCACTGATTTTAAACTGCAAAGAAAAGTGGTCAGAAGTAAAACTATGTATAGGGAAAAAAAGTTCGGGTCCATCTGGATCACTCCAGCTGTGCTGGCTAGTTTTATGACAATTTGGCACAAGCTAGAGTCATTTTGGAAGGAAGAACTTCAACTGAGAAAAGGTTCCCATCAGACTGGCCTGGTGCATTTTCTTAATTGATGAATGATTTGGAGGGCCCAGCTCACCGTGGGTGGTGCCATCCCTGAGCTGGTGGTCCTGGGTAATATAAGACAGCAAGCTGAGCAAGCCATAAGGAGCAAACAGTACTCCTCCATGGTCTCTGCATCAGCTCCTGCCTCCAGGTTCCTGCCCTGACTTCCTTCAGTGATAGATGGACTGACTACAAGCAAGTCTATCCCCAAGTCACTTTTGGTCATGGTATTTCATCAGCAATAGAAGCTCTAACTGAGACAAACAGCATTAGTTTGGGACTGGAGAGATGGCTCAGAGATCAAGAGAAAGCATTGTTCTCCCAGAAGACCAGAGTTTGTGCCCAGCACCTGGGTAGGGCAGCTTACATCTTTCTATAACTCCAGCTCCAGGAGATTCAATGCCATCTTCTGACCTCCATGGGTAACTCGCTACCCCACCCCCTCTACTAGCACACATAAATAACAATAAATGTTCTCTTAAAAAATCAAATAAATGTCAAAAAGTCCCCAGTGAGAGAGCCAAGAATGTGGCTCTGTTGGTAGAGTGTTCTCCAAACATGTATGAAGCCTTAGCTTCCATTCCCAGCACTGAACAAACTGGACATGGTGTACATGCCAGTAACTCCAGCATTCAGGAGGTAGAATCAGGATGATCAGAAGTGCAAGGTCAGCCTGAGCTACACAGCAAGTTCAAGGCCAGCCTGAGCTACATATGATCCTTGCACAAAACAATGTTTTAAATTGTTAACCAGCCTGTCTTTTTTTTTTTCTCATGTTAAACTTTCACATATTTTCAGTATGCTTGTGTCCCTGAAGCCCTCTCCGTACCACACATGGAAGACCCAACTGTTAATAAGGAATACTTCCTGAACTGGGCATAATGGAATCTCAGACCCTGGAAGATGGAGGCAGAAAGATCAGGCCAGAGGCCAGAGCAGGTTGTATTTAGGAATATACATAGATATACACATACATATACAAGTACATGTACATCATATACATATAGGCATGTAACAACAATTAATAAAAAAAGAGGTCATGAATTTGAAAGAGTGCAAGGAGGGGTATATGGGAAGGGTTTAGAGAGAAAAGGGGGAAGGAGGATATGTTAATTGAAAATAATTTCAAAAATTAAAACAAATTAAAGCCTTAAAATAAAGGAGAGAACTTATGTAAACAGGGGAGCAGAGGTCAACCTAGCTATATTTCTGGGAAAGGGGGAGGGGGATCCCTGAAACAGGCAGTCAAGTTTTCCTGGAGTGAGGTGACTATGGATGACCACAGAGAGTTAAGCATCTGGAGTTCACAGTCAAGCTGGGTCTAACTCTTCCTGCTGTAGCTGCTTTTGACCTGGTTCCTGTTTTCATCCCTCTGTTAGCAGTACGTGTGGAGGGCTTTTTATTGCTAAACTTTGCTTGAGCAAAGCCTTAATCAATGGCTTCTAATTCTGAGCTGCTAAATGACTCCAGCTAGCCTTTGCATACTAACATGCATACAATATCTCATTAGCAGAAAGCCTCGTTAAGAATTTCAATTCAATAATGGGGAATAATCCAATTTGTACTCTCTTAAGTAAATTGCTTCTCCAAAGTCACTGTGGAATAATGGCCGAGAATGAAAAGAACAGAGAGGCAACTGACTGGGGCTAAGGAAACTCTACTTTTGTGGTGAAGGCTTTTCATTCAAAGCCTCTGTCTGGTACTCATTTGTGAATTAATGTTGATGGGTGACTTGTAAAGAGACAAGTGTTTCTGTCCCAGCACTAGGAAGACTGAGGCAGGAGGAACAAGAGTTCAAGGGCAGCTATACAGTGAGAGCCTGTCTCAAAATAGAAGCAGACTGGAGAGTGCGGCTCAGTGGTTAAGAGCACACACTGCAGGGGGAGAGGACAGACACAGCTGAAGTCCCAATACCCACGTTGGGTGGCTCACAACCACCTATAACTCCAGCTCCAGAGATCCAACACCCTCTTCTGGTCTCTGAGGGTACATACTGTACACCCACACACCCACACCCCCCCATACACACACACACCCACACACACAAACACACACACACAAACATACCTTCAAATAAATCTTTTCAAAGATGACAATAAAAGCCTAATTAATTCTACAAACCAACTGAGGCAACAGTTTCCAGTTATAGCTGAGAAAAAGTATTGAAAATGAAAACCACAGAGTTTCCTGGAGTTAGGATAACACTTACTGAATTTAAATGGTTCGTGGTTTATGTCACACAGTTAAAAGCTTTCTAGTAGACAAGGCCAAAACTATGTAAAAGCTTAATTAGTCTGTTGATGAATTATGATGTCCATTCTTTGAAATGCTGCCCCAAGGCTTCCTACATCTTACAGCCCAAGACGTAAACTCCCCATCTTCACTTTCCCTCCCAAGACTACACACAAGTGTTCTCCAGTCCTGTGACATATAGCTGTCTCTAGCCAGGCATGATGGTGTGCATGTGTAACCTGGCAACTCAGGAGGTAGAGGCAGGAAGAGTGAGAGTTCAAGGTCATCCTACAGGATGAATTCCAAGTTGAGGCCAGCTTGGCCTACATGAAACTCCTGCCCAAAAAACAAACAAACAAACAAAATGAGGGAGGGGTGAGGCTGGGGAGATAGCTCAGTAGTTAAAAGCACTCATTCCTCTTGCAAAAGACCCATGTTTGGTTCCCAGCACCCATACTGGGCAGCTCACAACCACTTGTAACTCCAGCTCCAAGGGACCTCTGGTCTCCACTGGCATCTACACACACACACTTAAAAATAAATCATTAGCAAACAAAAAATAAGAAATAAAGGATTCCTTGTCATGGATAGGCTCAGAGAGACAAAAGGATCTGTTTATTACAGCAGTGGTTCTCAACCCATAGGGCACAGACCCTTTGTGGGTAGAATGATCCTTTCACAAGGGTCACATATCAGATATTCTGCATATCAGATATATACATGATGACTCATAACAGCAGCAGAATCACAGTTATGAAGTAGCAACAAAAATAAATTTTATGGCTGGGGGGGGGGTCACCACAGCATGAGGAACTGTATTAAAGGGTTGCAGCATTAGGAAGGTTGAGAACCACTGAATTAGAACCATAAATTTGTTTTTTTTAGCCCAGCCAATGTATGTATGTATGTATGTATGTATGTATGTATGTATGTATGTATGTATGTATGATATATGTATATGAGTCTGTGCACTCTGTCTCTCTGTCTCTCTGAAAACACGATAAGCTTATTTCTGATGCATCTCATCTGCAATTCCCAGGGGCAGTGTGCAAACTCAGGCACTGGAAGCCATGCTAATAGTGCTCTAAAACTGTACTCTGGTCTAGAGGGGAGGAGACCACTTGCACAGACGGAACTATTAGAAGCTAGAAGTGGCCAATGACAATTCTGCTTCCCAGTCTCTAAGGACACAGCCGGAGGACTATGCTGATGTGACATGATGTGGATGCACTAGCAGGTTTGGGTCACCATGACAAGGTGCCTCAGACTGGGTGGCTCAGCAACAGAAATGTTTTGGAAGCCTAAGCCCATGATTGGGTCTCTGCAGGTCTGGGCTCTGGGGAGGGCTATCTTCCTGGCTGGCAAACAATTCCTTCTCACTGTGTCAACATGGGCTTTCTCCCTATGTGCAGGCTGTTCAGTGTCTGTCCTTGTAAGGGCAGGCCCTATCAGATCACCCAACCCTGGGAAGCCCTATCTTTAATACAGTCACACCAGGGTTGGGGGAGGGGCATATATAAACTCAACACAAATGAATTTGGGAATGGGGGACACAAAATTCCATCGAGAGTATGAGTGACTCCAAGAACAATGCTAAGCCACCATGTCTCAAGGATCAAACTCAATCTCCACACTCAAGACAACCTGAGGTAAAAGGAGCTCAGAAAAGTTCAACCGTTTCAAAAAAAAAAAAAGTAGATGCTAAAAGGGCAGCATTTAGCATGATTGACACAAACTGTGCCTGAAGACAACTGTGTCAACAAGGAAACAAAGCCTCAGACCTCAAGATGTGAGGGGAAGTGTCCAAAGACATTGGGTCATCTGACTTCAGGGACTCTACAAACCCTGCATGGAAGAAAAGAGGTAAATCTATGCAGAATTATGAACAAACTCAAAAGGTCACAGATGATCTTGTGACAGTGTGGTGAGGTATGGCCCAGCCAGACTAAACAGCCAGGCCGATCTAGACAGGGCTAGCCACAGAGGCCAGATGTGACCACCTGCCATGAAGAAAAAAAGCAAACAACCTTACCTAACTGTTATCTCATCTTTCACACAGGAAAAAATCCTCTAAACAACATGACAGCATGAGATCTTTATTATTATAAATATTCTACAGGAATCTACATAAAATAACACATCAGCTATAGATTATACCCAAGACCTGGATCCCAACACCTGGGCTAGGAGTGTATTTCTTTTCTTTCAATTAGTTTTATAATATTTTAAAATCCTTATTACATTTCTATTGGGAAGAGGGGGTGCTTGTGTGTGGAGGTCAGAGGACAACTTGAAGGAGTCGG